TGTATCTGCCTCTTATCAACAAATTGTGTGATCTTGGGCAAGCAAGGTGCTATCCCCAACCTCAGTGTTCTTCTTTGTGTTTGTGGAAATCATAATCATGATACCCTAGAGGTTGGCTTCATGAGTCATCTGGGTAGCACAATTAACGCAGTACCTGGACCATACTAAGTGTCACAAAGTTTGACAGCTTGAAACAGCAAAATGAAGTAGGACTCTACCGGAACTCAAATGCTGATGGGAGAAGGAGAAGGGACTTTTGAAAAGCCCTATCGTGAGGTCCCAACAGTTACGGGGGTGGTAGTGGGGGGGGCACGCGGAAGGCAAAGTAGGAGGGACAGGAGGATGAAGCTCAGATGGGCAGCAGATGCCAAGCCTTGGAGTAGATTATTGGGGCTGTGGGCCCCAGGAGAACAGGGTGGGGATTTCCAAGGACCACTTGTACTCACCGAGGAGTGGGAGGGGCGCCGGGTGGTGAGGGAAGCGTGTCTGCTGAGGCTTTTGGCTGAAGCAAGCAGTGAGAGGCTGAATGGGCGGCAGACTTCCAAAAATCCAGGCTGGGGAGACGAAGCAGTAATAATGACTTGGATACACAGGAGGAAAAAATAGCTCAGGGACAAGAGGACGCCAAGGTTTCTGGCCTTGAGACGCTCTTGGGGGTGTGAGGTGAGCACCGGGGGATGGAGAGGAGGTCCCCGAAGGCACTGGGCAGGTAGAAGGCGGAAGCATGGATTGAAGAGATGGACACCCATTCCAACCAGGAAGAGGCAGCATGGGCAGCATCGCTGTGCAGGGGTAGAACTGAGCATTCTGGGCTGGAGGTGGCATGCATCTCCAAGGGCAGTAACCACGAGAGTTTGCACCAGGAACTGCCTGCCACCAAGAGCTCAAGCATTTCCTCTCTTCAAATAAGCTTAGCGACACCAGTCCTCCCCGGTTGGTGGGGCATTCTGTCATCCACCCCTGAGCCGCCACCAAGGTGTATTTCTTGACTGCCCACCAGATTCTTGCTCTATTTTACAGGAGACAGAGAACAACATATCAGCTCATTTGGAGATGGAGTAGCGGGGGATATAAGACGAGAAATAATTTTGTAGACTGTTGAGCAGGACTCTTCCCGTAGCTTTAGCATGTCTGCTGAAGCTGGGCTGAGGAGATGGCTCAGTAGGTGAAGTTCTTGCCTGCAAACAGGAGGACCTGAGTCCGATCCCCAGAACCCAGGTTCAATAAAAAATAAATAAATAAAGCCAGACATGGTAGCATGTGTTTGCTAATCCCAGTACTAGGAAGGCCAGGACAAGTGGCACTCTGTGGCTGGTTGGACAGCCAGCCTAGCCAATTAGTAAGCACACCGAGACCAGTGAGAGGTTTTTGTCTCCAAAAAAAGAAAAAGAACAAGAAACCAAATAAAAACCCAAGATGGATGGCCCCTGAGGAATGACACCCAAGGGTGACATCTGGTCACTGCACATATGTGCACTTCATCAGGAATATGTACGCACGCACGCACACACACACACACACACACACACACACACACACACACACACACAGTGTCCACTGATGTGGCAGAGCCTAAAACATAGAACAACAAGGCATTCTACAGAGAAGGATTCAGTTAGTGGCTGGGGAGAGAACACACTGGCGCCTTAGCAGACAGGGCTGAGGGTTCCCCGAGGACGCCCCTAATGCAAGCTGTGTGTAGCGGGGACATCACCAGAAGAGGAGACCGCTATGACTCCTCCCAACTGTCCTTTTCCTACCTGGACAATCACTCACCGTTACAGAGACCCCATGTGCCAAGGCACAGCAAGAAAGCTCTTGGGAGATCCCAGCATAAACCTTGAGGACTGAGCACGTACATGTATGAAGAGACTTGTGTGCAGTTCCTGATGGAGAATTGTGGCTGTGGTGGTCTACATGGTGGGGAAGTAAGTGGTCTCCTTACCACTGCTTAGCCTGGCAGGGAGTGTCTTTTAGACAAGAGATGCAGATCTTTTGGAGGTTGATTAGACTCTACTTTGCTATGGCAATGCAGGGTGGAAGCCTCCCCTGGCCCAGCACACAAATGCACAATGCTTAAGCACCAGCTAAGTAAGACTTAGTTGCTCTTTCTCTGACACTTCCTGTGGAACCTTGACCTAGAAGAGTTGTAGTGTAAGAAGAGAGTCTGAAGAAAAGGCCCCACACCACTCTCCCCACTACAGGGCCTACATCTTATTGGTGGGGAGGTGGAGCGGAGAGGAGAGGATTGAATTACATACATTGATTAAACTGGATGAGTCTTTGACCTGCATAAGAGCAGGCTCTTTAGTGTCTAGAAGTTGATCTTAGTTACAAAGACTGTTTTGCTTTATTTTGTTTTGTTTTCGTTTTTTGAGACAGGGTTTCTCTGTATTGTTTTGGAGGCTGTCCTGGAACTCGCTCTGTAGACCAGGCTGGCCTCGAACTCACAGAGATCGGCCTGCCTCTGCCTCCTGAGTGCTGGGATTAAAGGCGTGCGCCACCAACGCCTGGCACAAAGACTGTTCTTGCATCTGGTAAGAATAGGCAAGGACTGTGCTGAGGTGTTAGGAGTAGAGAAGAATGGGGCTGGAGAGATGGCTCAGTGGTGACGAGCACTTGCTGCTCTTCCAGAGGCCTGGAGCTCAGTTCCCAGAGCCACACTGGGTGGCTCACAACCACCTGTGACTCCAGCCTCAGGGGATCCAACCCCGCTGGCCTTCAGCACCCCTGCATTTGAGTGCACGTGCCTCTGTGTAGACATACACACCTACACATAATTGAAAGTAATTCTTTTGTTGTTGTTGTTTTTGAGACAGGCTCTCTCTCTAACGCCCTAGCTGTCCTGGAACTCACTCTGTAGATCAGGCTGGCCTCAAACTCACAGAGATCCACCTGCCTCTGCCTCCCCAGTGCTGGTATTAAAGGTGTGCGCCACCACTGCCCAGCTAATTAAAAGTAATTTAAAAATCCTTTAAAAAGAAATGGATAAGGAAAGCTCACTATTATGTGGTGGGAGACAGAGAAATATAGCTGACTGTCCTCCATCAGGTTCTGCCTTTCTAAATAGCCAGCTGCACGGAGTCAGCAGACAGTAAGATACTTCCAGCTCTGGAAAGCTGTGAACATAAAGTGAGGTGATGTGTGAGCAGTGGTGACTCAGGGTGTAAAGGCTGTTCTAGACCAGGGGTCCAGGGATGTGTGAGCAGTGGTGACTCAGGGTGTAAAGGCTGTTCTAGACCAGGGGTCCAGGGATGTGTGAGCAGTGGTGACTCAGGGTGTAAAGGCTGTTCTAGCCAGGGGTCCAGGGATGTGTGAGCAGTGGTGATTCTGAGGTGTAAAGGCTGTTCTAGACCAGGGGTCCAGGGATGTGTGAGCAGTGGTGACTCAGGGTGTAAAGGCTGTTCTAGACTAGGGATCCAGGGATGTGTGAGCAGTGGTGACTCAGGGTGTAAAGGCTGTTCTAGACTAGGGGTCCAGGGATGTGTGAGCAGTGGTGACTCAGGGTGTAAAGGCTGTTCTAGACCAGGGGTCCAGGGATGTGTGAGCAGTGGTGACTCAGGGTGTAAAGGCTGTTCTAGACTAGGGGTCCAGGGATGGGGTTACAGTTTGGTGCCGAAATTTCTTGCTAAAGGATATGTGTCCAAAGGCTTGGTGACTAGTTTGTAACACAATTAGAGGGTGATGGGACCTCGGGGAAGTGGGGAGTAGGGGAAGGACGTTAGATCATCGGAGACATGCTCTCCGAGGGACAGTTGGGACCTTGGCCTCTCATTTTCTCTCTTTGCTTCCAAGATGCCATGAGGTTCTCCTCTTCCTTCGCCTTCCTTCAGCACAAGCCCCAAAGCTAATCAGCTGAGGGCAGAAACAGTGAGCTGCAGGAAATGATTTCTCTTATGTGGGTAACCTTGAATATTTCCTCACAGGCCAGAGAAGCTGAGCAGCACACATGGCCGCTCCAGGGGGTGATGCTTGCACTGAGAGGTGAGATGAAGAGCCTGTCCAGAAGACCTCTTGGCGATGAATGCTCCAGGTAGAGGGAGGGGGCGCGGCGGTGGACTGTTTGCAGATGCTGCCAGGTGTCTACTGGGCAGGGATAAGCTCTGATGGGCCAGAGAGCCAGCCGGGTGTGGCGGGTTCTGTAGGCCAATGCCAAGTTTTGAGGCTTCCTTCTCCAGTTAGACATTACTTCGGCTTCCGGGAAGGGAGACACTGGGCATGGGATGCTCTTTCATTATGCCTCCCTAGGAGATAGTAGACTGTGGAAACATTTTCAGGAAAGCCACGTTTGAACCTGCCAAAGGCCTTTAGGCTTTGGGGCAGTGGACATGGGTGAGAAAGATTGCTGATTAGAGAGGGCACTCAGAAGGGAGGCAACCAACATCCCTGTCCCCTCAATACAGGATGGAAGAACCCAGCTCAGCAGGGACGACTCATTCAGTTTCCCTAGGGGAAATCCCCCAAGGCATGAGGGGCTGTGACAGGAGTCCAGGGAGGGGAATGTGAGCCAAAGGCCATAGGCCTGTTTGTTTATTTCCCTCCTTGGAAATCCTATTCTTCAGTCACCTTTTCGAGAGGCTCCATGCCTACCGTTGTGAAAAGAGAATACCTCTTCCAGAGGTAGCCATCATCACCACAAGCCCAGGCCAAGCCTTGACGCCACAGGAAGCTGATTAAGATCAAGGAACTGAGGCGGCTGGCAGAGCCTGTCTCTACAAGGCACGATTGCCAAGGATTGAGGCCAGTTCCACTAGAGGGCGCGCGCCCCCAGTTGACCTTTCCCATTAGGCGTCCGGCTTCTGGCTGCTGCCCCAGGGACACCTGCATTCTTGTCTAGCGCCCCCAGCGGCCAGGGGATAAAGCGACGGGACCAGGAGCACATGCCTCAGACTCTGTCCCCATTACTCTGGTCTGGGTACCTTCCTAGCTTCCTTCAGGCCTGAGAAGCAGCCTTGTTCCAGGTCCGAGTCCGTGAGGTCAGGAGCAAAAAATGCATCCAGGGCAGGCTTGCTCAGGACAGGAGACCGGCGGCTCAGGTGCGCTTGTCCAGTCAGACGCCATCTGTCCTTCCAGTCCCCGGGTCTGCCCTGCGTTGCCCGCAGCTCCTCACGGGTTAATCCCCTCGCCGCCCGCTCGCTTCTTGGTGCCAAAGTGGGTGTTGCTGGAATTCCTGTCTCCCGTAATAAGGGGGCCGAGCTGTCCCTCCGAGGAGGGGGCATGGCGTGGATAAAAGAGACGAAAAAGCAGGGGGCGGTTTCCAAAAATAAAACCCTCCGGTTCCCCTTCAGACGGCTGCAGTGCGGGGAGCGGGCGCGAAGGTGCAGTGGACACCGGCTCCGTGCGCAGCCCAGGCAGCTCAAGACATACAGTCCTAGCCTGGGAACCCCCGGGTCCCCAGACCTGCTGCTTCAGTGCCCCCTAGACGGGTAGGGGCAAGCGGCTAGGAGGGTCCGTGGAGCAAACGGTGGAGGGCATCTCCCCGCGAGGTCTCCGGTGCCCACAGCTCTGCGGCTACCCTGGCGCCATGAGGGCTCCGACCACCTCCCGCTGCTCCGGACGCTTCCTGCGGATGCGTTGGAGAGGCTTGCTGCCAGTCGCCCTGGCTCTCTTGATGGGGACAGGTCATGCCCAAAGGGACTCCGCGGGGAGATACGAACCAGCTAGCAGGGATGCGAATCGGTTGTGGCGCCCCGTGGGCAGCCACCCCGTAGCTGCTGCAGCCAAGGTGTACAGTCTGTTCCGGGAGCCTGATGCTCCGGTCTCTGGCTTGTCGCCCTCGGAGTGGAACCAACCCGGCCAGGGGAGCCCCAGGAGGCCCGCCGAGGCTGAGGCCGAGGCCAGGAGGCCATCCCGTGCTCAACAGCTGCGTCGAGTCCAGCCACCTGTGCAGACCCGAAGAAGCAGTCCCCGGGGCCAGCAACATCCAGCAGCCCGGGCTGCGCCTTCTGTCGCGCGCCGGGTGACCCTGCAGCGACCCGCGGCTGCACGGCAAGGGCGGCTCACCGGGTGAGCATTGTAGAGGGAATGGTGGGGAGGCCAAGGGATGCAGGGGTGCGGAGGGTCATGCTTTCACTGGCAGAGGGACAGAGGAGACTCATTGTCCCTTCGTCCTCAGAACTGTAGAGAAACCACTCCGAGGTTCCAAACCTGGGACTCAGACAGAACCAGCTTTCAAAAAGATTTTGGAAAAATAAATCTGTTCTTTCCCTTCCTTGGACAACAGCTCACTCGGAACCCCGACGTTAAGTTGTGTATTTCTAGCTCATTCTGAGATGGGCTCAGTGGCTGGCAGCACTGCCAGGATCTGAGAGGCCATGGGGAGCAGGCTGCTGGGTGGGCGCTCTGGGTTCTTGAGGCCCGGAGAAGGTAAAGCTGGCTCAGGGAGCCAGTAGATGGAGGATCTGGGCGGGGGAGCGGGAACACCAGGGCGCGAAGACAGATGCATCTCCAGGAAGGGGCTGGCAGGGAAGCCAGCGCGCCGAGACAAGTGTATAGTCCGGTCTCAGGGCTGCTGGGACACGCAGAGAGCTTAGGCATGGGCTTAGCTCTTTGGAGAGGAAAGCCGCCCCGACGCTGTGTGAGAGGCTGGGTTTGTGTGTGCCGGGAGTCAGCGTTATTTGTACATTTTGTACGGCTAAGCCTCCCTCCAACTCTTCAACTAATTATTTTGCCCCACTCGCTGCGGGCCCAGGACTCTATTATCATGGAAGGCGGCTTCCCTCCCCCGCCCCAACAAAGCCCTGCCCAGAGTTACAATGGTGGGGATCTTGCCTGGGTATCCAGGTGTCTCTGGAATGGGGGCACAGTTGTCTGGCAGTGCTGATCTGGGTCAGGTGCCACTGGTAAGTCTAGGAGGGGCTTCGGTAGCCGTTGGCTTGAGCCGCAGGTAGCAGTCCCAGTGCTTGTACCCCTAGTTGTACTACGGAAGGTCTTCTGCTGGACCTTGTACATACTGTTCTCTTGGGCTGCAGCGCTCCTCTCTCGTATTTCAGCCGAGTTCACTGTGTCCCGTTCCTTCTCCGCCCTCGGCCCACTTTATACTTCCGTATAGCATTCTTTTATATATTTCTATTTCTGCTTATGTGCTCACTTACACGAGTTCTATGAAAGCAGGGTTTTGTTCTCTTCTGTGTTCCCATCAGATCAGCGCCTGCACGTAGCTGGCCTTCCCTGTGTGTAAGTGGACTCCCTGCTGCCCTTAGGAGGCCTGGCCTAAGATCTGCAGGGCACAGCTCACATGCTTCCAAGTGGGTCCAGCTTAGGACCATTCAAGGAGAGTTAATGGGGCACCTGCCTTGTTTCACCATTCTCCGTTTTTCCTGACTTGAGCAAGCAATTGCATGATTACATATTGCTGAGCACGGGAAAGGAGGCAGGACTCTGCTGGAGCGGCAACTCAGTTACTTAAGATCAAGTTGGAGGCACGAGCAGTATGTGCTGGTGGATGCGTTTCCAAAAGGGCTGGGAGTGTTTGTTAAGTATGATGGAGCTAGCTGTGCAGTGCAGTGGAGAAGCTCAGAGAAGATACTGCAACCTAAGGCCCCCGGGGCTCAGAAGAAGACACTGTGACCTAGCACCCCCGGGGCTCAGGAGAAAGCAGGTGAGGAAGGAGACTACGGCCCCTGGAGACGACCCTGTCAGGCTGGCTTAACACCACCTCAGAGCAAGGGCTTTTCACAGTTGGCACTTGCCCAGGGGCAAGAATGAAACCCTGGTATAGGGGAGCCAGGGGCTTAGGCTAGAGATGAAGTTTGGGTTGTCATAGGGGAGTTTTTACTGTGGGCATTTAAGTGTGTGTGTGTGTGTGTGTGTGTGTGTGTGTGTGTGTGTGTGTGTGTGTTGGAAGGTGCTGTTAGAGGTCATACAGTGAAGCAAAGCAGGTGTGTAAGCAGCTGGGTGCCTCCCACAGGCACTTGCTATACATGCACAGATGCACACCTGTGCTTGAGTTGGCTCCTCAGTTTTGTCTACTTCACATTTGGTAGATAATGAGTTCCTTCAGCATACCATTCAGCCTCTGGAGAGGGCCTGAATGATAAAGTTACTCCTTAATTTCCTCAATCCATGTCCATTCTGGCCGTTGTAGGAAAGTCAGAGGCCAAGTGCCATCTGCTGGTGGAATGTAGAACTGCACACCATTGCTAGTTGAGGTTTTTTTTTTTTTTTTTTTTGAGACAGGGTTTCTCTGTGGCTTTGGAGGCTGTCCTGGAACTAGCTCTTGTAGACCAGGCTGGTCTCGAACTCACAGAGATCCATCTGCCTCTGTCTCCCGAGTGCTGGAATTAAAGGCGTGCGCCACCACTGCCCGGCGAGACTTTTTTTTTTAATTAATTAACTCCTTCAATATGCACTATGTTGAACCCTGGGAGTATAGCAGTGGAAAAGACAGATAAGCCCTGTCCTTGTGGAATTTTTGATGTAGTGTGTATTTTTTAAAAAAACATGTGCCAGGAACTTTGCTAAATGTCTGAGGTGAGCAGTGTAGCTATGTAATACAGTCTACAAGGGACTTATTAAACCATTGTTTACCAGTGCTCAGTATTTTTTGAACCAGCCTCATAGCAGATGATCTTCATATTTCCTATGTATTCCCTTATTTTCTCTCCTTCCACTAGTGGGTCCCGGGGATTGAACTCGGGCTGTAAGGCTTGATGGCAAGTGCTTTGATCTAATGAGCCACCTTGCCAGCTTTTTTTCTCCATCAATACATTTTAAAATTTTATTTATTTATTATCTATACAATGTCTGTCTGTATGCTCACAGGCAGAAGGGGGTGCCAGATCTCATTACAGATGGTTGTGAGCGACCACGTGGTTGCTGGGAATTGAACTCAGATCCTCTGGAAGAGCAGCCAGTGCTCTTAACCTCTGAGCCATCTCTCCAGCCCCCATCAATGCATTAGTAAAGTAACAGAATTCCATATTATATATTTTGAAATAAATTGTGAAATTTTAGATGAATGCTGAAAGGCATTGGGAATAACAGTACTCATGAGTTATTTTACTTTTGTTTTTTTTTTAAGTTGAAATTTCTTTTATACATTTGCCTCCCTCTTTCTGCAGTTAATTACCCTTTGGATTAAATATTTCCAATGTGTGTTTTATACTATTACAAAAGATGTAAATATCCATAAAATATACAATATTGTATTTTTTCACATTTTAAACTTATATATTTGCATATTTTAAACTTAGACAAATGATAGCATATTGTATTACTCTACAATGTTTTTCCTTCTCATTAGGTATTTGAGACTTAACTATGATAATATACACTCAAGTTTATTCATTTTAACTGTTGTATATTGTTCCTTTGTCTAAATATACCACAGTTTATTTATCCATTCTCCTGTTTCTGGATGTTTAGATAAATTACATCTTTTTATCATTACAAACAAAGCCTGACTCATTTTTCTGCATAAATAAATCCATAATGAAAAGGAAACTTTGTATCATTATTACAAGTTAAAAGTAGCATTATTTGTCAAGACGAGCAAAGAAATGTAGGAAAATTTGAGATTAAAAAAAGGGGCCTTTTCAGTTTTGGCCAGGCACCATGCATTGTTCTAGAAGCTTGTGGCCTGTTCTTTCTATGGAGAATTAGATTGGTTGTGTTCAGGACAGGACCAAGCTTGAGGACCTACCTTAGATGGAGAACTGCTCACCTGCCCAAGTAGGTTACAAAAATCATGGAACAAGAAATCAGTTCCTTGCCACGTGAGTCGCTACTACTGAGTCTGCTGGCCATGCAACCCTAACATCCCCTTTCCTACCCTCGGCATTGCTCAGCACACTTCCAAGTGACTAAAGGAGCACTTAATGTATACTGTGTGTTAGGCACAGTGTCAGCCTACAGAGGCAGAGAGAGAAAGGAAAGAACCTTTGAGACACCCAAGGCAGAGAGGGACTCCAGTGGCATGAGCCACCACTTCTAAACGCTGGCATTGGGTGCAGGGGAAGTCAGACACTTGTCAGAGGAGCCTTACACGAGGGACGTAATG